TGCTGATACTGTGCTGGGGATTAATCCTGAGCTCTGTCCATGATGGCCAAGCACTCTGCCAACTAAGCCACATCCCCAGACCGCCTGTGGTTCTGCTTTACCTTTCCATCATTTTTAAATGTTCTGTTTGTGTTTAGCATGCACATGGAATTGCTCAAGTGTGGAGGTCAGAGGACAACCTTGGGAGTTGAGTCTCTCCTACAGAATGTGGATTCCCAGGATCAACTCAGGTCATCAAGCCTAGTGGCAAGCACCTTCACCAGCTGAGGCATCTTGCTGGTCCATGTGGTTTCTTTTAGGTTTTAGTTTTTAAGAACAGGACAATTCATTCTTATGTATGAAACAGAAAAGCACATACAAACAAACAAACAAAAAAAAAACTAGAAAGTTAGTAACTTTCTTATCAATAGAAACGAATACTAATTTTACAAAGTAAGCATTAAAGCTACTCCACCAATAAGCAAAACAAGCAAATAATAATAATAATAATAATAATAATAATAAAGTTAAAACTCACACTGCAGAGACATTTTCAATCCAATTACAGTACCATGATGCCAAGATATTTTGTAAGGCTTTACTTTTCATTATGCGTGGGCCTGTTGCAGTGTCAGACCCCTTTAGCACTGGAATTATTGGCAGCTGTGAGCCACCAGATGTGGTGCTGGGACTCAAACGTGAGTCCTCTGCAAGAGGACTCTTCACGGCTGAGCCAGCTCTCCAGCCACAATTTCAAGATGTTTCAGACTCATTATAACATCATTAAATTATGCTCACTTCTCCTTCATTATTCAAATTAATTTATATACTTATCATTCCAACTTTAGTATACACGCTGCCAAAGGGAGCACTATAGACTTTATAAGGAGAGAGGCTTCCTCTGAAAGCTATTCTTGAAGACTGCTGTAAGCCTAGGGACTAGCTCAGTGGTAAAGTGCTTGCCTTGCTCGGTGATTTATGTTCAGTCCCCAGAACAGAGACAGAGACAGAGAGGGAGAAGGGAGCGGACAGGGAGAATGCTGCAAGTAAGTATCATAAATGCTCACCCCAGCACCTCCTCACCTTTCTCCCCGTGAATCCCTGCCGCTAGTCAAGGACGGCCGTCAACACACTATGCTGCTTCTACTTCTTCCTTAGGCCAGCTTCAGGCAGGCGCTGTTTCAGAGTGTAAAGACTCAAGGACAGAATTGTTATCACGTACCTTGTATTTCCAGCAGATGAAATCCGTCCGTTTGACTGGTCTGTGACACCATCCTCATTCTCCCTAAGAGGTACATTCCTTTGTCTGTTTCCCTGTGGCCTTAAAAACACATCAGCTTATAGAGCACATCCCCCACACAGTGGGTCTTCTTACCTCTCTAGGGTTCTAACACCCCATGTGTCAGCATGAAAGGAAACAAAGGACTGTGCTGACATTTACTGTAACATATCCTAAAGTTAATTCAAATCAGGGTGGCCTCAAGTATGTCTGCGCATTAACAACACGTAGTGAGAGCTGACAGTCAGGTTTGTTGTTGTTTTCGTGTACAGCAATACACTGGGAAAGTAATGCTACAATCCCAGTCCCTGACACTATTTTAACTGAGATTACTGTAAATTATTTCTATATAACTTCTAGAAAGTTTTATTTTAATATTATGTTTAAATACTTAATTTTTAGTGTGTGCGTGCGTGCGTGCGTGCGTGCGTGTTTTGTGTTTGTGTGTACCTTCATGTGTGCACACAAGCTACGTCTTTGCTAATGCCTGAGGGGGCCAGAAGAGGATGTCTGATCAACTAGAATTAGTGTTAGAAGAGGTTGTAAGTCATTCAATGTGGCTGCTGGGAACTGAACTCTGGCCCTCTGAGAGCAACAAGTGCTCTTAACTTTTCAATCATCTCTCCAGCGAGATACATATAATTTTTTTAAGCTAAGATAACACAGTAGAACACTTGCATCATTTGGTTGACATGGGAATTACAGGGCACCTTCTGCGGGCCAAATCCTGTTCTGGGCACTGAGTAGATACAGGCCCCGTACACACCGAAGTTTCCAAGCAAAACTAAAACAAAAGTGTTTTTTAATTCAGACATATACTTTCTGGGAATTAGTCACAATACATAAAACTGAGTTCTTAACTTAAAAACTGACACAATAAACCCCATGAAAGAATGTTACCAAAAGCTAAATAAAAAATATTATTTTAAAGACCGTCTGATGCAGAATAGATCCAAGGAACCTTCACTTTACTTATAAGGTCATAATGAACAAAAAGAAAGTTTAGAATTTATTTCCTTCTTTAAAAAAAGCAATCATTTAAAAAGTGAAAAAAAATTTCACCTATCTTTCTTTTTCCATTTGGCAAACACTGATTTGTTTTTATAAAATGTAATTTCTCACGCCAGAGAAACCAGCATAACTTTTTACATAAACACTTATTAGCACCCATGAAAAACCAGCATTTCACAAGTCTTATTTCTTTATGTGGCTGTTAATGAATTATATTTTCCTTCTGAAGAAGACAAAAAGAAGTATGGTTGAGGAAATATAGTACAATAGTTAGTGTAGAGTTGGTGCTGAGATTAACGGGACTGGCCATGTTCCGCTGAAAAGAAAAGAATTCTCCAAAGACGCAGACTATTGTAATCCTCACTTGTCTCCAGCCCAAAAGCATGGTCAGAGTTCTCTGGGGGATCAGCTCAAATGGTAATCTTAATAGCATTGTGACTTTGCCACGAAAACAGGAATGCTTCGATTTTTTACCCACATCCAACCCAGTTCCCTACACACCATTTTAAAATTTACTTCAATTTAACGTTTTTTAAAAAGCCAGCTTTATGTAAACTGAAGCATGGGCGCTCAGATCTCTTCTGGAGTAACATAATCTAGTGTCCTCCCCTATTTTCTACCACTCAGCAAATTCCAGTCCTTCATTGGCAATGTCCTTTCTGTTTAGTTACACTGCATCTATAGGACCCATGTGCAGACAGTCTGACATGGGCTGGAGACTGCCTACCCCAGACAGGGCTGCTAGCCAGTCCTCGGCTGTCACCTGACAACACAGGTCTCAGGAGGTCCAACGGGCTAAGGACTAATGAGTGCGTCACTCTTTCTAAACTCTTTGCACAAACAATACACGCTATAAAGAAACATTTGCTTTCCTATAGGAAGTCTGGGATGTTAGCTTATGCTAGGAAGGGGTAGCCATACAATCTGCCCTCAAGAAAAACCTTAGGTGAAGTCCCCTCACTAGCTTCAAAAGAAAAGATTACTTCAGAATTTTACTGTCTATTAATTATAAATATACAACTAGCAAAATTTAAGTAGAATGGAAGTGTCATTCTGTGTGACACATTGGTCACACAGACACTGCACACAGCACTCCATTACTGAAAACTTCCTTAACTGGTTAATATTAAAGTAAAACACTAAGAGAGAGTGTGTTCACTTCTACAGCTCAGTTAATAAGTAATAAAGACGAGCACAGGCTACAGTTTAAGAGTCTATAACTCAAAATATCATTAAAAAGAACTATTCACATTCAATTTCAGCGAGCTCCTAAACATCAACTTTACTCATTAGTATGTACACATAAACCTTACACACAAACACAAGGAATACAAACCATTAGTCCCAATAAGAACAACTCTGTCGTAGGCCAGGTGGTGGTGGCGCACGCCTTTAATCCCAGTACTTGGGAGGCAGAGCCTGGCGGATCTTTGTGAGTTCGAGGACAGCCTGGTCTACAGAGTGAGATCCAGGAAAGGCGCAAAGCTACACAGAGAAACCCTGTCTCGAAAAACCAAAAAAAATAGAACAACTTTGTCAATTATTTAAGAACACTGACCGATTCATGGTTTGACTTTAGGAAAACAACCCTTCCTGGACATCTTTCACTACCCCACCTTTAAGATAAGAAAAAATATACTGCTCATAAAACATCAGGTATGTTAAGAAGTTGTAAGATAATTAAAAAGAAACGCATAGCAAAATTATAAAAATAAAGCATCACTATAAAAGTAGAATCGATCAAAAATTTAACTTTGAGAAGTGTGGAACAAGGAAATCACAGAAGTTAAAGGATAGAGTTATTTCTTTTACTAACAACTATACCCATTAAATATAACTATTGAATGATTAATGTCAATTCTTTTTCTCAAAGAGATAGAAAAGGTGGATATAACCCCAATTATCCTCAAGAAACATGAAAAATGGCCTAACGTACTGAGATATGACAGCTGATAGATTAACAAAATATAAGTAACACATAACATACACTTACATAGTGTTCAGAATTGAGATAATGAGTAAGAACTCAACCTTATATAAAATAATTTCAAAATACTATTTAAGGAAGTTGACAGAGAAAGGTCCTTTATGAGATACATAATAATGCAGTCCTCAAGTGATCAGAATGGAATTAATTGTTAGCTCGTATGTGAAAAATAAAGCATCGATTGTCATAAGTTTCTTAAAATTCCAAACTTTAAAATTATGCTTTCATTATATTCTGGAGGTAAATATCATAATGAGAAAAATAAAGGTTCTAGAAAGTTCTCAGATACAGAGAAAACACCATCAAGATTCCAGTAGTATCTGGAGTGTTCCAAAATTGAGAGGTGGTCTAATTACTTTAAATATAAGCATTTTCAAATATAAGATACTATACGATTTGGAACATTTTCTGAAGTATAAAGTATATTCATATAGAAAACTATAATAAGCAATCCACATTTCTCATTATTCCAGATATTATATTTTGAACTCAAATTACCTAAATTAAGATACAGACTAAAGACAGAGAATTAATGAAAGCTTTGTATTGTTATCAGTAATTAAAATACTGACAATGCAGCCCAAGAATATTTTCTAAAATACTAAAAAAGTGAATATTTAGACCACTACACAAAACAGGTCCCAAAGTTTACATGTAATCCATCAAGTTGGCAGACCAATGACAGAGACAGTCTCTGTGACATTTCTATCTCTAATAGTTAGGGGAACATGTCAAGTTAAATATTAAGGTAAATGAAAACAAAGACCTATAGTTAAGAAATTGCAAACAATATCACAAAGTCAGTCATTCAAAGAAAGTAAAAAACATTTGAAAACCTGATTGAGAAGAGTTTTACACCATTTGAATTACATCAAAATCCAATAACAGTCTCTAAAATACATTGATAAAGACAGTTACGGTGTACAAACATTAAGTCACAAACTGTATTTCACCCACGGTAAAATGTCCCTTTCCCTACATTTCACCATTTGAAATTAGGCTGGCTATCAAGCTGACTTTAACCTACTGCAGAAGGAAGTTTTTATCCCTGACAGTTCTCTGGGAAACTATGACCCAAGACAACCTGAGCCTTAACCTTGAGGTTTCTCTGGATGCTACTAGCAACTAGAACCCAGGCCTCGAACCTTAATCAATGTCTGCTTTAGGCTGCCCACTCGAACACAAGACTTTGAGGGTTTTGTTTGTTTGTTTGTTTGTTTGTTTTTGTTTTGTTTGTGTTGTTTACTCCCCTACTTGACCATAGTTGAGACAAGAAATTCCCTCTATGAGAATGTTTCCACTCACTTTAGATTAAGAGTATACACTTCTACTTTCTAGCTTTACCTTGGGGTCCTAATTTTAAATTATGGTGCTTCACAAAACAGACGGCTGAATTAATCAAATATGGTAAATCAAGTAAAACTGCTTTTATAAAACTAACAGCAATATTAAGTAAATAAAGAGAATAAAATGAAAATGTAAATACCTCTCATCTGGATATACTCTCAGAAGTCTTCTATCAAAGTCACTTTCAAATCGAAATCTCTCGTCCATTTCTTCACTGACGTCAAGATCTCGGTCAGATCTACAGTACTGTCTGTCAGGCACTTGCTCCTCATTAACCCTTCGAGCTCTTCGCTCCGGAACACCAGCCTTGCTGGCAAAGCTTGGTTTCGTACCAGAAATGCCTACTTCTGCATTCGTCTGTTTAAGAAGTCTTCTACTGACTAACTCAATGTCATCATCTAGTTGTTGATATCCGCTCTCCTCCCGCCGCCGTCTTCGGTTTAGAAGCTCTTCATATGTCGGGGCCTCTGAATGTATGTATGAAGTCTGTTTCTGTGGAGGTAGATCAGGTTTGCCGTGACTAACAGGGTTTTTATTTCTTTGGCTCTTAGGCTGTTGAATTAAAAAAGAAAAACATCTTAATGAGACATTATCATATAAATCATATAAAAGATAATTAAAATCTCAAGTCATACTAAGTCTTTATTTCATAAAATTTCAATAACTATCCTTAAAATTTACTGATTTATATCTGAACTTTGATGTTTAATCAAGAGCCAAAAAAATATTTTTTTTTTTTGGAAAAAAAATTCAAAGAATTATTTTGCAATAAGCTGTATTATATAGCAAGAGACGAGCAATAGTAAAATGGTAAGTGGCTAGGAAAAACCTGACACCTAAATGCAAATTCTTAGCCTTAGACGTAACAGATATATTTTAATATTTACATAGTACTTCAAATTAAATTCTTCCTAAACATGGTAAGCTTTGCCGGGTGGTGGTGGCACACGTCTTTAATCCCAGTACTTGAGAAGCAGAGGCAGGTGGATCTCTTGAGTTTCAGGTCAGCCTGGTCTATAAAGCAAGTTCCAGGACAGCCAGAGCTACACAATGAGACCATGTCTTGAAAGGTTATGCCACTTGGGCTGACAATGCCCACCGAGAGCCATACACTACCTAACAAAAACCTCAGGGCCAGGCATGAGATACCTCCTTTGGGCTGTTGTTCGGGAAGTCCAGGAAACACCCAAGACATTCTACACTGTTGCCCTTGGTTGCCTCCCAGAGGCTGAAGACACCATGCACCTCAGACGTCAGAAGATTAGATCTGAATATGACCTGAAAGCCTCCTCCCTGAAGCACAGCTTTCTCATTTTCAAAAGGGACCATGCAGACTGCCAAGGGAGGGAAGCAACCAGTAAGTCCTACTGTGCTGGTGAGTTTGATGTCAACTTGACAGAAGCTCAAGTCATCTGAGAAGAAGGAACCACAATAAAGAAAATGCCTCCATAATAGCCAGCTGCAGGCAAACCTGTAAGGCACTTTCTTAATTAGTGATTGATGGGGAGGACCAGCCCACTGTGGGTGGGGCCATCCCTGGGCTGGTGGTCCTGAGTTCTATAAGAAAGTAGGCTGAGCAAGCCAGGGGGAATAAGTCAGTAAACAGCACCCCTCAGTGGCCTTTATATCAGCTCCTACATTCAAGTTCCTACCCTGCTTGAGTTCCCGCCCTCACTGTATTTAATGATGAACTGTGATATGGAAGTGTAAGTTGAATAAACCCTTTCCCTCCCAACTTGCGTTTGGTCATGGTGTTCTAACACAGCAATAGTAACTCTAATTAAGACACCGATCCAGCTGTGATACCTATGAACCACAACAATGAGCCAGCATGGCCAGCCATATATCCTGAAAGGTGATATCGCAGCACTTCTATCTTGGAACTAATCAACAGCTGTCTAATTGGTCTTAAGGCCCACTCATCAGGAAGGAAATCATGCCTGGTACTAGAAACTGAGACAACTACCAGGGCTGATGAGGTCAGAGGTCTTCAAGGAGAGCCTACTACCACCACTTTACTAAACCCGCATAATTCCTCCCAGATTCTGAACACTTATCCATAAGTGGACAATAAGTGTAATTACTCCTCATCAAAGAAGCTTGTCTCTGAAGCAGATGGAGACCACTACAGAAAACCACAACTGGTCAAAATGCAGGGCAGCTGACAGTTGCTCCAATAACTTGGCCCCAGAGGCTACATCTAATACACAACTCCTCCACCCAAGGCTCAGGGAACATCTTTCGGGAGAGGACAGAGAGATTCTAAGAGCCAAAGAAACAAGAAAGCTGCAGTGAGACTGTGTCTCCTAGAAATGTCAAGGACACTACACTCATGATACCTCAGCATCACGGCTGCCCAAACATGACCTGAGCAATGACAACACCACACGACATGCCAATGCAGATGGGAAATCTCAAAGGGCCCCACCCCTGGACAGAGAACTACAGACAACTACTCACAGCTGAGGGAGACAGAATTACTCTTCCCCAGGAATGAACCCCCTAACTGTTTATGCCAAGTGGTCAGCCCTGAGATCATATACATAGAAGCAACATTAAATGGACTCAACAGATTATATATTTATGCATTGTATATATGTAACAATAACAATTAAAGAAAATGAGGCCATGAGTTTGAGAGTAGTTAGGGGACAATATGTGAGGAGTTGAAGGGAGGAGAGGGGAAATTACATAATTATATTTTTAACAATGATTATTTAAAAAATAACATTTAAAAAAAAACTTCATTCAATTATTATACAGTCTTGATAACTCTTTTTTGTTTTTAAAGATTTATTTATTTATTATGTATACAGTGTTCTGTCTGCATATACACCTGCATGCCAGAAGAGGGCACCAGATCTCATTATGGATGGTTGTGAGCCACCATGTGGTTGCTGGGAATTGAACTCATGACCTCTGGAAGAACAGCCAGTGCTCTTAACCTCTGAGCCATCTCTCCAGCCCTTCCTTGATAACTCTTGATATGCAATATATATGTGTATATATATTTCTCACCCAGAAACTGTCAATATTTTAAAATTACTTAAAATAAAAAATAAAGCCAGGGATGGTGGTACAAACATGAAATCCTAGCAGCCCACTCATACATATGATATTAAAAATCACTTTATAAATGTAAAACGTACCTCAATATTCTTTTCTACCTGTCTGGCCTTTTCTATGGATTCTTCCTTACCCCTGAGAAATTGATTGTATTCTTTGTTGCGCTCAAGTTTCAACCTTTCCTTAAAAAAGAAATTGAAAGGCAATGTTAACTTCAACTTGGGGGGTGGGGGGAGTTGTTAACATCAAACCAGGATCATACAAATCAGAGCTCTTAGCCAGCTTTACTAATGATTTCAAGGACGAGAAGCCACTGAAAGGAACAAGAAGAGGACTCACCAGCACTGCAGCTCCTCAAGTCCCCCTTGGCATACGCAAACAGACATGACTATATGCTTTTTCATTCATTAGCATACGATGTCACTAACAGAATGGTACTACTTCAGTTCTAAGATATCTTGATTCCTTTCCCCCAGTGTTTCTCAGTGATATATCCTTCCTGCAATTCCCCAGACCACTACCAAAATGCTAATACTAACCATTTTATTCCCTAGGTCAAAGAACTCCTAAACAAAAAAAAAATGGTAAAAATTATACAGACATTTAAAACACTATAACAGAACTGTTGTTGAAATGCAAATACATTGCAGTAGTACATTTTCTTAAATCCTAATATGTTCAATGTCACTGAAACTCCACAATCTAAAAGAGCACTTTAAAATGAGGTCTGCTTTTCAAAACTTGGTGACTGTCCACTTTGTCTTACACACTACCCGATGTTGCTACCATCTCTTACAAAACAAGAATGTGTGTTAGCAGAGTAACAGAAACGTACAGCTAGCTCAGCAACACTAGCCTCTCACATCTACTCATGTCACTGATAACTGCATCACAAAGCACAAACGTGTAGCTCAGATATCAACGTGGAAAAAATAAACTGAATTATTTGATTAAGTAAATAAAATGCAGCAAAACAATCAACACATTAAAGAAATCTCTCACATCATTAATGTTCAAAAGAAGTTTTCAAGTGACTCAACCAGAAATTCCATAGACTTTTCTAAAGAAAGACTACAGTCAAGGAGGGAGAAATGGTGTAACTAGAAGTAGATTCTCTCGTGCTTTTGAAGCCCCAGGAAACTGTACTCCTACCCACCTACCTTGGCAGATAACCGCTCGTCAATAGGAAGAGAAACTCCCAGAGTAGATGGGTCTGTTTCACCCGTAGATAGAAAATTTTTCTGTGTATATAGACATTAAAAATATACATTAGCTAATTGCTTTTGTACAAAGGATCTTTACATTCTATATTCTAAGCTCCTACATAATGCACAACAGAAGGATGAGATGGACATGAAGTCAGAGACTGTACATCTAGAAAGCACACCAAACAGAATTCCTTCAAGTCAACTTCAGGGAAGAGAGGCTCAAGCTTTAACTCAGATTTGCCACACATATACAGCTTTAGAATGGAGGTGATTACAAGTGTGAAAGAGTTAATTTTTTTTTCCAATTTTTATTCCTCTGGGTATAGATTCTTCATTCTTTTAACTTCCTCATCAGTATTTTTATGAATGCCTGCAATTTTTTTTTCTGTTTGCTTTGGTCTTCTAGGTAAATACATACACAAAGTCCCAAAGACTAAACCGTGAATGCTGTTGCTGTGTGTCCCTCCATTCATGTCCACTAAGCACTCAGGTGGCATCAGTGAGCATTGCCAAGCATCAGCCTGGGCATCCAAGGACCTAGAGCTCAAGCTTCTACAACTAACAGCCACACTTCCAAGACAAGCCAACACTGACCAAGCCAATTCATCTGACACTCATTCTTCCAAACAGTGAGAACGATGCCTACCAGGCACAACTACCAAAGTCAGTGTAAGGATCAAAGAGGATACAAAACATAAAGTCCCTTTGAACAATTTAAAGCAAATGAAAACCAATCTTTTGATACTATTTCTTAGCCAAAAGAGCTAAATAAGTCAGTTAGCTTCTCTGCCTCAGTTCCTTCACCTGTAAAAACAGGCAATATCATCTACAACGCTACATCATAAAAGCTAAATCAGCATGTGTAGGCTATCCAGTTTTTTGCATTCATGAACACATTAAACAATTATTGATCATTCGATGCTTTCCAATTAGTATTTTATATGTCAAGGAAACAATGATAAGCTTAAGTTCCCTCTAATCATTTAGTTAAGAAAACAAACATAAACAACTGCAATACTATCTGCTTCAGTAACATTATATTAAAAACATGGAATGTATGAGAAGATTGTATATGGAAAAAGTAATAAAGCCATTAATAATGTTTCAATAATTCTAAAGTTACAAAAGCTAATTTGAAAGCTGGCTTATGGGAGTCTAATAAGCTTCTTTATCAAAAGAAAACAGTTAAGACAAAGGACTGATTGGATCCTAACTCTGCTCATCACCATGTCAAAGTACACTATACACCTAATCATTTTGAAGAATTATAAATGAACAACAACAACAACAAAAATACCAATCCTCAACCAAAAGCTATCATTCCTCACACAAAACAAGTTTAGGGTAATGTCTGAATTTTTCAACAAAATGAAAAAATAAACAAGTAAGAATAACATAGCTTTACAAAAACTTGTTTTTTGTTTCTTTCTTTCTTTTTTTTTTTTTTTAAACAGAGCCTCACTACAGCCCTGATGCTGGCCTGGAACTAACTCACTATGTAGAACAGGTTGACATAGATCCCAAACACCTCCCCCTACCAGGATTAAAGGCATGTGCTACCACATCTAGCAACAAGAACTTGAATTTTATCTGTTCAGTAAATACTAGGTGACTACTATAACTCTCTCATCCATTGGTATCCATCAGTATGTTAGGAGGCCATAATAGCTATAGTCAAAATAAACTACTAAACAAACAAAAAGAACAGGCTATGGAGAGTGTAGCTTCTATAGCAAGAGAATGAAGATGGTAATCCCAAGTTCCTGTTTGGACATGGTCTATACTTTTTTTAACACACAAGAGATGGGCACTATTTCAAAGTGAAAACATCAAGTAGACAAAAGTTTAAGGCTCAAGAAAGAACTATAGACTAATGGAATTAATTTACTGACTCAATTTAAAAGCTGTTCTGTCTGCCCAGTAAGAACACTAATGATCCTTCATTCTAAAAACTAGAGGGAAAAAAGTGGTATTTGTTTAGTGGCTCTTCCTGGCAGTGATTAAATTAATGTTTTGCTTTGTTTATTTTGTTTTGTTTTTCAAGGGTTTCTGTGGTGATATTGTGTTCCCCAAAATATCGTGTACCTTAATAAACTTATCTGGGGTCAGAGAACAGAAAAGCCACTAGTTAGGCAGTGATAGCACACACCTTTAATCCTAGCATTCCAGAGACAGAAATCCCTCTGGATCTCTGTGAGTTCAAGGCCACATTGGAAACAGCCAAGCATGGTGACACACGACTTTAATCCCAGAAAGCCAGCCTTTAATCCCAGAGAGTGGTGGTAGAAAGCAGAAAGATATATAAGGCATGAGGACCAGAAACTAGCAGCATTTGGCTGGTTAAGCATGTGGCTGGTTAAGCTTCAGGCTTTCCAGCAGCAGTTCAGCTGAGAGCCATTGGGATGAGAACACAGAAGCTTCCAGTCGGAGGAAACAAGACCAGCTGAGAAGTTGACCAGGTGAGGTTAGCTTTGGCTTGTTCTGTCTCTCTGATCTACTAGCATGGACCCCAATAACTCGCCTTGGGTTTGATTTTATTAATAAGAACTTTTAAGAATCCTGCTACAGGTTTCTCTGTGTAGCTCTGGCTGTCCTGGAACTCGCTTTGTAGATCAGGCTGGCCTCAAACTCACTAAGATCTACCTGTCTCTTCCTTCCAAGTGCTGGAATTAAAGGTATAAGCCACCACTGCCCGTATGTAATCTTCTTGCTTTCAACTCCCACCTCCAGGTATCATCCAAAGGCTTTAAGGAAATGCCACTACTTTACCACTGTATTTTTAATAACACATCACAAAAACAACTCTGTCATGGTAATGTAAAGCCCTTGCTCCCTTGATCACTCTCCCTTTTCTTTAAAAAAGGCAATTCCTTTTCATGCCCACTCATGACAATTCAGATTGACAGGACCACAGCCATCACTGCTGTGACTACCAATTTGGTAATCATCTCCAGCCAGGTGGGAAGCTGTTTAAGTAACAACACCCAGAGGATTCTGTGTCAGCCACCATACAGACTGTTATTTGTTGCAAGAGGCGAGTGCTGTACCACAGAGCTATATCTCTAGCCCCCAGATTGCTTTTTAACTGATATTGGGCATGTTAACTATTTTTGAGGAAGGCTGGTTAGACATGGCCCACCTTTTTTTGGCTAGCCCAGACATAATCCCTCTCCGTCTACCTTGCTGTTGCCCAAGACATGACTCGGTGTCTAATAATTCATACTTTGCATAATCCGAGATCTGCCTTCCGTTCTTCCACCTTTCAGTACCCTCTACATTTGGTCGCCAGCTCTCACGAGGTGAACACACATTTTTACAAGGCATGCCAGCACCCCTATCATTCCTTTTCTATGAAGAAAGAAAAGGCAGAAAAGAGGAAGATGTGACATACAGGACAGGCCTAGGAAGTCAAGCTACAACAGGAAAGGTGTGACAGGCTAAGGAATTTGAATTTTTATTCAAAAATTAGTGAGAAAGACACGGAAATATTTAAATCAGTTAGCTGCAGGATCATTCTGGAAAGCATCACGAACAATGGACTGATAATCAGTACAAGTTCAGTTAAGGCATAGAATTTAAGTTAGTGAGAGTCTCAAACAGGTTGAAGTCACTGTTCTAAAGCAGTTATGCTCTTCATGGGCATTTCCAGAAGTCAACGCTTCACCACAGCCCATCACAGACTACCTTTCAACAACACAATCCTAGCCTTCTACATCGTTTCTCACTACTTTATAAAAAGGCTATCATCCATCTAGTCAAGCTGGTAAATGTCTCAAATGAACCAAAAGTCCACATCATTCTTCAGTCTATAGTCTCCACTTGAAAAGTTTTCTCTACTCTATTTTGCCTTCTGAATATCCAATTTCTTCCTATCCTGTAATGCCTTATAAAATGAGGCCTGCCAGTGATTAGGATGTCTTATTGTCGTTTCTGATAATGAAATAGTATATCCACAGCTCAATCCTAAAGCCCTTGAAGACAGGATCTATAGTGTATTAAACTATTGGTGTTTTTTAAACATTAGTTGAGTCATTAAAGAATGCATGAGGTTATTTTTAAATAGTTTGTACAACTACTAACTGGTGCTGTTTTCCAACATAAATTAACAAATGTGATCAGTCTGATTAGTACAAAAATATCTAGTAATCCAAATCATGACAATACATAGCTCAAAGCATTTTTAAGTATCTTGACTATTATCTTGTGATTAGTATAAATTGTGGAGCAAAAAATAACACGCTAAAAGCAAGCACACAACAGTTTCAGGCTATTTATAAAGAAAGCAACAGAAACAACTGCAAAGCAGGAATCAAGACAATGACTGCATTAACAGAAAACTGTAACTGTGGACTGTCAAAACAGTGCCACTCAGAAGTCTCAAAAACACAAACGAAGCTGTTTTTCTACTTGATTTCAGTCACTTGAGTGCACATGATTACAAGCTATTACATCTTCTTATACACAAACCAGAAGAGAACACGATGCAGGCAACCCTACCTTTCTTTTTGCTTGTGTAATGCCCTAAAGTCAAGAGAAACAAACCATTGATGAGACGTATTGAGTAAAGGTCTGTTCTTTCCAATTACAAGTCAGAGACAACTTGAAACAACTATTTCTAAAGCAATGGAAAGGCCAAGAGTATGTGCATTCTAGAAACATGACTGCTTGAAATCCTCACCACCACCCCCGCCCCCCCAGGAGCTGAGGACCAAACCCAGGGCCTTGCGCTTGCTAGGCAAGCGCTCTACCACTGAGCTAAATCCCCAACTCCAAAATATTTTTCTAACCTACAAAGAAAATTGCATTATAAGCCTCTAATTTAACTCTTAACTAATCTGACAATTGCAAAAGGGTTCTGCTAGATAAAACATTAAATCATAAAGCAAAGCTGTTGGTGGCCGTTAAGATCTGAATATGAACTGTCCCAAAAGGCTTTTGCTGGAGGAAATGGGTCACTTGGGACATGTCAACTGGGAGGCTGTATCTTCTGCCCAGACCCTTCCTGTCTAATCTTCGATTCCTGCCTGTCATGATATGTCAACCTGCCACTGCTACATGTTCCTACCACAGGTCCACAGCATTGGAGTCAGCTGACTGCAGCCTGGACCTCGAAAATCTTCCCTCTCTTACATAGTTTTCTCTCGGACAGATATTTTGTCACAGTAATGAAAAAAACCTGACTGAACACAGTTAACAAGACTATTAACTGAAAATGTATAAGCTTACCAAACAAAAAGATAATTAGTAACTAAAATGCCTCATGTCATTTGAATACCCTGTGGGGAATAGTGGAAATGCTCCTTAGACACAGACAGCTTTACAGGAAACAAACGACAAACAACCACTGTTTACAGTGGTTAATCTCGTTAGTATTAAAATCCATTTCCCTAGTAAAACACTCTCCTGTGCTGTACTAAATCCAGAACCTTCCCGAACTACAAAGCTCCAGGAAGAGTCTATTACTCCACAGCACAAATTCTCACTTTTTTTCCACCAAGAATTAATTTTGACTATACTAGGTGGCCAGATATCACATATGATCAACACTTTCCAAAAGTAAATTAAAGGATAAATTCCAACAGACAAAATACGACTCTTTAATAGAATATCTTACCTGAGTAAGATAGCGTCTATAATCTTGCCTCAATTCTTCTTTTAATTTATGTTTCTTCCGTTCATAGTCTTCTCCAAGTGGTAAACTTAATCCATAATCAATTCCTAAAAAAGAAAACAATTTAAGTAGCATATTCCTTTTCAAAGCAATTGCAATGAAGTTCCCCCTCCTGTAACAAAGCACGTAAGGGTTTCATGTTTTGAATGCTGTGGTGGGTGATACACAGATGCTGTGGTAATGATTCGTACTTGTGAACCACAGTCATCCTATTCCCCTGCCCAGAACATAGTGTTTCTATGTGCCTATATTAACACAGTCTCGGGTTACTGTATATGCAAGGATGTGTATAAGTGTATATAGTACCTTTGTCCCTGTGTAGACAAATTATCACCAAGCATCTTGTTTTCCTTCTCTTCAATTGTTTTTGTTGTTGCTGTTGTTTTGAGACCTATTTTCTCCAGCAAGGCTAGTTTCCAATACCTCCCAAATATAATTTTTAAATTTTTAAAAAATAAATAATCACTTATAAGGCTAAAGATGTGGCTCAGCTGGCCGAGTATTTGCCTATCACACAGGAAGCCCTGGGTTGGATCCTTAGCACTGTGTGAAATACAGTGTGGTACTACACACCTGTAATCCCAGATCTTGAGAGGGACAGGCAAGAAGACAAAAAGTTTCAGACCATCCTTGGCTGCACAGACTTTAAGGCCAGCCTAAGGTTCATTAGGCCCTGTCTCAAATTAATTCATTAATTTTTAATTATTTATATAATTTATATAAATATTTAACTTATTACAAAACAAAAATTATTACTTGTAAAAGAAAAAGCTTACAATTATTCTAGAAATAGTAGATGAATTTATAAACCGTCATAAAAATATCCATTTTTTTACTCCTTACAATTCACGGAATTATGGATATGTGCTACGCATGTGTCATCTGTTTTTGTTTTAGACCAGTGAACTCAGGAGGAAAGGCCGCGGTACGTATGTACAAATGGATGTCTACTATTTCATAACACAGCACATTTTACTTTACACTCTAAACACTGGGAATTCTCTTGATAAAAGTATCTGGCCTAGCCAGGCAGCAGTGGCACACACCTTTGATCCCAGCACTCAGGAGGCAGAGCCAGGCAGATCTCTGTGAGTTCAAGGCCAGCCTGGGCTACAGAGTGAGTTCCAGCACAGGCACCAAAACTACACAGAGAAACCCTGTCTTGAAAAAAAAAAAAAAAAAGAAAGAAAGAAAAAAAAAAGAAAGTGAGAGAGACAGAGAGAAAGAAAGGCAAAGAAAAGAAGAGAAGAGGCCAGGCGGTGGTGGCGCACGCCTTTAATGCCAGCACTCGAGAGGCAGAGCCATGAGGATCTCTGAGTTTGAGGCCAGCCTGGGCTACCAAGTGAGTCCCAGGAAAGGCGCAAAGCTACACAGAGAAACCCTGTCTAAAAAAAAAAAAAAAAAAAATTAAAAAAAAAAAGAAGAGAAAAGAAAAGAAAAGGAAAATGTCTGGCCTATCTAATTCCTTGGTGAAAAAGACTTTAATGGGCAGGGACATCTCAACACATGTTCCCACAATTCACATGGAAGGCATCTAACGCATTCCTTATGTCTTGACTTTATATCAACCTAAAAGAAAATTCTTCCCTCCCAGAGAAATGTTATGTTTTAAAATACAGATTATGTTTTTAAATACAGATTTTAAGCTGAAGGAGAGAAATAGTAAGAGAGTTTTTGTTGTCATTTTTTTAAGTTGTGTGTGTGCATGCACACAAATGCATATACACATGCCATAGCACATGTATGGCGGTCAGAGGACAACTCTCAGGACTCAGTGTCTTTCCTGCTACACTGGAGATTCCAGGGATCGAACTTAGGTCATCAGGCCTAAGTGAGAGTAATTCTTCTACCTGCTAAGGCACTTTCGCAGGCCTTTTTTGTTGTTGTCAATTTTTAATTTTTTTTTTATTTTTTATTTATTACATATACAGTGTTCTGTCTGCATATATGCCTGCAGGCCAGAAAAGGACACCAAATTTCATTACAGATGGTTGTGAGTCACCATGTGGGTGCTGGGAATTGAACTCAGGACCTCTGGAAGAGCAGCCAGTGCTCCTAATCTCTGAACCATCTCTCCAGCCCCAACTTTGTTTTAATTAGCATACAAAATAATGGGCTCCATTCACAGGCATTCTCCCTCTCATTCAGCAGGAGGATGTGTGTGGAACTAAAGGAGATCAATGAAAACAAGCCCATGCTACACATAACTTTGTAACAATTGATAACCATGGAATGGGTACCAAATCAATGCACAAATGGACTGGGCATGGTGGCACACACATGTAATGACAGCACTCAGGAGATAGAGGCAGGAAGACCAGAAGTTCAAGGTCATTCTCACCTACATAGGGAGTTCGAGGCCTGTCTAGGAAACACAAGACTGTGTCTCAAAAACTAAAATAAATTTGAAAATGAACATATGGGTGAATGGCTGAGCAAGAGGAAGAAATGAGAAGGAAGGGGCAAGAAGGCCCTCCTCTCTGGGTTCCATGTCTGCTTTCTAACAGTTTGGTTCCACAGAGGGAGGACTACCAGGAACTAGTAGCCAGCGCTACATATCTAATGACATGAAGTCACAATGGACATCTATGGTGTTGAGGAGAAAGTGACAATGCTCAAAGGGTGATGATATCTTCCTACAGGCCCAGCCTTCCCAGGCCGAAGACAAGCAAGCTGCAGCTTCCTGCAAGTCACAGTCCTACAGTGCCTTTTACTACAATTCTGAATTCTATTTGTAGGCCTCTCTAGAAGAACTGGAAGAAAAACCTGAAATTGTGTTCAGTAATAATTACTGACCCGATTAAGTCCAACTTTATCAAGAGTACTGCTCTTCACAAACCCAGGTACTCCAGAGCTGAAGTACATCACAGACTGTAAGTTTAAGGCTTGCCTGGACTAGAGTGAGCCTGAGCCCAGCCTGGGCCTCGAGGAGACCCTGTCTACGAAGTCAAGAGGTGTAGGGATGTAACTCAGTGCTAGAGTGCTGGACTAAGAGCACTGCAAAAGGAAAGCATATTTGCTTTCCACTACTGATTCAAATACTATTTGTACCACTGGCTTAGTAAGCAATCATGGAGAACGCTTCCTGCATTATTAGTAAATCTAAGTTTGGAATGGTAGTGTACCCCTTTCATTTCAGCATTCGAGAGGCAGAGGCAGTTGATCTCTTAGTTTGAGGTCAGGCAGGCTGGTCTATATAGCAAGTTCTAAGTCAGGAAAAGCTACACAGTGAGACCTTGTCTCATAATTTTATATACACACACACACACACACACACACACACACACACACACACACACACACACACAAATTTCAGTTTAGTCAAGATAAGTACCATCTGACTCTTATTTGTGTCACGTAATGCTAAACTCTTACGTTGTTAGAGGTGGGTCATAAAACCAAAGGGTCTGGTGAGACGGCTCAGTGGCTAGAAGTGCGGGCCTCACCAGCCTGCCCTGAGTTCAGTCTGGACCCCGCAGGAAGAAGCGGCTACAGTAAGCTGTCTGCCCTCCACAGCCTCTGTCGTATCTGCACCCACATTCACACACACACACCATACACACAGTGATAGCAGTAATACAGTCAAATGTCAGTAAATAAAATGAACAGTACAGAGCAATGTAAATGGTCTACTCACTTCCATAAAGTACTAACAGTGGCACTTAACTTGAGCTAAGAAACATAGTGAGACTTACTCAGCTGTTGTCCCTGGTGATTCTAGAGGCAAGAAAAGTATTAGTGTCATTTAAAGTGATGTCACCTCACACAAGCATCAGTGACAATGGCAGTTAACATTATGCTTCAGGACCAACAGTCAAGAAGTATTAGACTTCTGTAAATACTGTGGGATTAAAAACTATTTAAACCTAAAGCATACAATCATTCTTACACTAATTCACCTAAGAAAGCACTCACAATCAGCACTGTTGGAAACAAATTCCCATAGAGCATTTCTTCCTTTCACATTACGTAACAAACAACCAAGACATCACTGTATCCACAGCTATACTTTGTTATAGTAAAAAATGAAAACCAAAATGAGCAAGAGGAAGAGACATTTGCAGCAAAGCCCAGCAGAAGCTGGGCACCAGCTGCCGAGGGCTCTTCCCTGATGGGGTCACACAGAGCACAGCAGTCCCTTCAGCCACGGGTTGTGTCAACCCACATGGAGTGCTACCTCCCAGGAAGCTATTAGAGAACCAAGAGTCTAGGCTTCCCAAGGAAAGTAAGCAGTCAGCATCCGTGTGCTTCACACAGGCTGAGGGGGCACAATGAGCCGTTCTCCTCACTTACTCAGAGTTTTACGTCAGTGTGGGGACCACGCGGAGCTAAGTCCCAAACACGGGCCACGCTTACGAGAAAACTGTGAAACACAAGCAGTTCAAGATCAACTACATCAACAGTTTTCTGCACAAGGAAGGACTCAGAACACAAGAGGAAAACCCAAAGGGGGTGTGGTGATATATTGTGTACCCTAATAAAATTTGCCTGAAGATCAGAGAACAGAACAAGTCACTAGATTAAACATAGAGGCCAGGCAGTGCTGGTACACACCTTTAATCCTAGCACTCAGGAGGCAGAGATCAGTCCGGATCTCTGTGAGTTCAAAGCCACCCTGGACTATACGAGACTGACTCAGTCTAGGAGTGAAACAGAGCCAGGCAGTGGTGGCACACACCTTTAATCACACACGTCTTTAATCCCAGGAAGTGATGGCTGGGCAGAGAAAGGTATATAAGGCGGGAGGAGGCAGGAACTAAAGGCTTTTCGGCAGAAGCGTCCCTTTCAGCTAGGGGCTTCTTCAGCTGGAGCCTTTCGGGTGAGGACTCAGAGACATTCAGTCAGAAGATTTCTGGAGCTGGAGAGATGAGACGCGGCAGTGGCTTGTTCCTTTGTCTCTCTTATCTCTCAGCATTTACCCCAATATTTGGCTCGGGTTTTTTTACTAAAAGACCTTTTAGAATTCAAGTTACAAGGGAGCCTGCCAAGCCAAGGAAAAACAACAGATCATGAGAGAAGTGAGAAACTACTTCATAAAGATGATAAA